TGCATCTAAAAATAGTGGAGGAAACAGAATAAGCTCCTGCAGGAATAGTACGTGATCCAAGCTGCCCAAGACATGAGAAATCTTTATTTTAAGCTTCAAGCTGATACATTAGTGTAATGGCTTGCCCTGTCAGGCGCTTTGACAGATACGTGTTTGCGTCCTCAGTGCAAAAAACGTTCAGTTAACGGTCCTATCCTGATCTGTAAGTCACAAGTTCACGTGAGCATTTCCATTTTTGCGTAAAGGCCCGCCCTGACAGTCTGCGTGAAGTTGAAATCTTTACTGAAAGAGCGGCGCAGCAGACGCTGTTATCTGTTGTTGACAGGGCATCACAGTATGGTAGATAACATTTCCGTCACACATTAAACAGACGGAGCACAGTAGAGAGGGAGAAAACATTCACGGTGCTGAAATATCTGTTGTTGAACATTAAATTTAGGTTTAAAAGTCAACATGCAGTGCGAGTAATTTATGAGAGTATGAACTGTGAAGGGACAGCAGCGTGTAATTGTCTGAATATACATGTCAGACGCTTTTACAGGATAAAGACAGTAAGAGACCGACTGTGATCAAAGTGCACGCGACGCGTGTTCCTGCAGAGCATTACTGTGATTTTATTGGTCTTTATTATCTTTATTTTAATTTTTGATCTAGAGATTTAAACTATATTCACTATATAGCCTACAGTGATTAACACATTTATTAAAACAAATTTATGTAAAGTTTTTAACCAATTTTGTAAGGTTTGTCCCACCGCTGCTCTTCACTAACAGTATTGGTAATTATTCAGAAAGCTAAAAAATGATTTTGCTAGTTTAGTCCTCCAATATGCGCAAGCTCTTTAGTAACAGTAGTAGGCTATTTCTAACGCTATAATATAATTATTGCTGTTATCTGTGAGAGGAAGGCAGAAAAAATAGTCAAGTGCTTAATAGTGTTTTTTTATTCAGATACCCAATGAGTCAAAGTACATAAACAATGCCAGCAAGCGTGCAAGCTGTTATCAAAGGCAAAGGAGGCCATGTTTGTTATTGTGTGAATAAATACGATTTAGTTGTTTCGGTTTGTTATTTGCCCAATAAATGACAATAACATTTTTAGATTTAAACAATTTTTTGACAGATTCCTAAAATATTTGTGTTCTCTATTATGACAGGTGGTCTAATAAATTGTTAAGTTGTATTTACAACGCCGTTTCAGAACAGTTTAACCCAAATATTCAGATGTGTGCAGCGCATTCTGCGGAGGATGAGGACTGTTTCCTGTGAGAGTAGCCTACAACGCCGTGTCTGTTTCTATAAAGTGGGGCAATTCCGATGAGCTTTGTAAAAATCGACGCGTTTCAGAAAGGCGGGGCATAGAGGAGAAACAATAATGTACAGTATGTGGAAAGTATGCCTCGTGCGCTCGAGACAGCGTTCAGAAGTTCCACACAAACTACATCCAGCTTCAATCACTTAGGGTTAACGCTTATAACTAGGGCTGGGAAAAATACGCATATACTAATATAGTATACAATAAAAGTAAATAATATAATAAATAAAGTATACTCCATATGGAGAAATGTTTTCGCACCCATCACTTTTCTGAGCCAGGGGTGTCCACACAGGGAGTTCAGCTGGACCCTAATTAACCCGGAATCAGCTAATCAAGGTCTTCAGACTGCAGGAGCTGAACTCTGCAGGACTGGACACCCCTGCTCCACGATTGTTATTTGTGCTGTTGCACTATTTTTCCTAAGGTAAACGTCAACTCTTTGCGGTCACTTTGTTGAACGTTTTTGCCTGTATGGAGGTTAGATTGACTGATTTGGGCTACTGCCTTGAACCTGAGCAGGCGAGCACTCAATGATACGCCCGGCGTGTGATATCGGTCCTACTCGAGACGCTTCACATCACAACACACATGAAGAGAGATACAAGACGCTAAAGGTTTCTCTCAGAGAACATGCCTGGATCCTCATGGGGCTCGTAGTTTTTGCTGTCTGTGTTTTCTTTGTACCAGTCCAGGATACGCCCCACGAAGGGCGAGATGAGGGTGACGCGAGCCTCAGCACACGCGATGGCCTGAGCGAACGAGAACAGCAGAGTCATGTTGCAGTGGATCCCGTCCTTCTCCTCCAACTCCCTGATGAAAAGATAAACACACAGGCGTCAGCAGAGCAGCTCTCGCTCGGTTTATTAATAACAGCTGCATATGAAGGAATCCGCTTCACATCGTGTTTGTGGTGAACAATATCTTATAATCTTAATGAAGACTGACTGTAGTGAACACACTCACTGTCCGGCCTGAATGCCCTCCCATGTGGAGGAGAGTTTGATGAGGATGCGCTCCTTACTGACTCCCGCCTCTTCATAGAGAGAGATGAGCCTCCGGGCACGAGAAACCATCGCTTCTTTATCAAAAGACAGCCTGAAAATTACACATCACATCTGTCATTAGGACACATCTCTCACACACACACACACACACACACACACGTCGGGTCTCGCGGGAGCAGGTCTCTAATCCACTGTGTCAGCAATGTAATGCGGCAGTAACGTATAGAGACCTCGGCTTGTAACTATACTCGAATTACTATTTTGAAAATTATAACGAGTTAAATTACCCCGTTACTAAAAAAGTAATCAAATTACAGTAAAGCGTTACTGCCCAACACTGCTCAAGAGTCACTTTAAAGCATCAGCTGCACTCGTGGGATCTGTTATGTAGTTTGCTAATTTAACAATGTCATAATTAATATTAATAACACCGCTTCCCCTACTGAAATATGTTGAATAATCATACTGCAAGGGTGAGTCGGGTTTTTTGATAAGAAACATGATATCGTGGCTCAGAGCTCCTCTGATTACTGGCATCACTAGTGCAGATCATCTAAACCAGGGCTGTCCAAACTCGGTCCTGGAGGCCTCAACACACCTGACTGGAAGTTTCTATGCCTAGTAAGAGCTTGATTAGCTGGTTCAGGTGCGTTTAATTAGGGTTGGAGCTAAACTCTGCAGGACACCGGCCCTCCAGGACCCAGTTTGGACAGCCCTGATGTAGACTCTTACCTCGCATCGACTTCAGTGGAGACCCGGCCAGGAACCTTCTTTAAGATTTCCAAACCAAAGTTCACAAACAGCTTGTCAATGGCATTGGTCACCTGCTCCTCCTCACTCCTGCAATTGCAAAAAGATGGACATTAAACCTGTAAGAAACTATCTAACAGAGCACATCTGTGTACTCCATACTCTCACCCGCCGTTAGCAATGCCGTATTTGATGGCCTGCTCCACGAGAGGCTGGTAGGTGGGCATTTTAGCTGCAGCCAGAATCAGAGAAGGATTGGTGGTGGCATCCTGAGGTTTGTACTCTTCAATAGCTGCGGAGGAGAGAAAACAAGGAAAATTACAGCGAGTGCCATCTCAGCAGTGTTCTAGAAGTCTTCTGTCACATAAACAACAGATGATACGTCGATCAGAGAAGACGATAACAGTGTTTGTTACTTGCGTCAGTTCTAAAGTCTGCGGATGGCTGTGGACAATGGAAGAACAGTATAGTAAGAAGGTAAACAACATCTCGAGTGTGATGGAAATGTTCCATGTAATGTCCTCAGAAGACATCTAAAGGGTATTTCAGAATGTAATGTTCAGAAAGGTGTAGAGTAAGGATGCTCAGGTCAAAGATCATGCATATCTATGATCAAATAATCTAGATTTACCCAAGAAGTGCTCAACACAGTAGAACTAACAGTCATGTGATTAAGATCATTACAAAGCAATCACCAGATCAGTGTAACCAATTACGATGAAGACTTGAGTGACATTGATTTCTACTCAACTACAAGGTGTGAATGTACATGTATCTTTCTGTTCAGAGAACAGTGAGTGGGCTCTCGGCTGCCAATTAGGGTTAGGAATCGGATACCTGTCAAATTAAAATTTCGATTCCGCCTATCGATTCCGATGCACTTTTTTTTTCTTCATCTGTGAGGACCGGAGCTAGCGATCTGCCAGGACCTTGCTCGCTAATCTAAGCGCTCCAAAGTTTGGCTACATCTGCGATCAGAAGCCAAAAAAGTTAAGTATAATATCTGTGATAGATAAACATGTTTCGAGAGAGGTGTCACCACCAACATGACAAAGCACTTTAATTTAATAGATCGTTAAAGTTCGCGAACACGATTCAAACACCAACGTGATTCTATTCCTAAATTACAATGATTCGTCTGTTTCATTCCTCCACCTTTGGCGTGTGCGATCAATGTTGTGATCACTTGGTTCATCTGTGCAGCGTACGATCACACCAGTGTGATTTGAGCATTTAAATCTGCGTTCACGCTGCGCTGACCTGAAGACAGCAGCTGTCTGTCATGAATGAAACAGCTTCAGTCTTTTCAGCCACACCGTATCATTATTTCTGTGTTACAATCATTCAAAATCACAGAAGTACTGGGATAAAAGTTTATAGTTCAGATATAAACGGAGTGTACGATGTGTATGGTAGCGATTCAAATAGAGTAAATCACCTTTTGAAAGTAATTTGACGCTTCAAATGAAGATTTGTCGATTACATTGTTACACCAGTAGGTGGCGAAAAGGAGCTGTTAAAATGTATTTGTCTTTGAATCACACAAGAGATTCGTTCAAGAACGCCGATTCATCCAGTAATGAAACAAGTACATCTTGAGCGAGTCAATTAATCATTCATTCATAAATCACATGTGATTTTGTTTAGTTGTCAAATGTTTTTTTCTTCAGAATCATGAGAACCACAACTTCCATTGGGGGAAAAAACAAACCTTAATTCATCCAGAATCATGCAGTTCTATTTTGCACACAAACAGCTCTTGCAAAAAAGAGACACAGGATAAATGTTTGATATCATTATTTAATCACATTGGAATTGAAAAGCAGAATTGGAATTGATCAAATCAAACGATACCAAACCCTACTGCGAATAAACTTTTATTCCTGCAAAGAGCAGCTTGGGAGACGTGTCTGGTCTTTGCTGCACAGCTGAGGAATAGAAGTACTAAAGACTGTGCGCTCCGAGGAACACAGCAGAGACAGAGACAGTAATACTCAGAGCTAGTATTAATGATCCAGAGCACACCTGAGAGTGTAGAGATGCTAAAGACCTGGTGCTTTTGTGGTTTGATAGCAGGACACCGTCACCATACTTCGGGAAGGGAAGAACTGGATTGTATTAAACTGGTACTGTAGTATTGTATTGTGTTATTGACCACTGGAGGTTGTCTGAATCGTTCGTGGTAGAGAAGTCAGATTAGTTTAGTATATAGTAAGATGTATTCATATTGAGACTTCCCATGACAACAGCCATTTCATTTCCCAAGCCTGCTCTTTCAGGAACGCTGATAATATAACACACTATGATCTTGGCTCCTGCAACACAACACTTCTGTTTCAAAACCGTACATAAATCATAATATACAGTTAGACATTATTTGAATAGTAGCTGATAATGACTCGCTTCCCGCTCTGCCAGCAAATCTGATTCTGGAGAGCTGTGTCAACTTAAATCTAGTCGTTTGGGTTTATGAGGCTTTGCCTGAAGATAATCTGAGCCAGTGAACAAGAAATGAGTAATAAGGGGGAAAAAATAAGGTGCCTGCAAACCTCGTCCTTTATTTGAGTCTTCAGATAAACATTTAATGGTGAAATGGTGCTGTTCTCATGACCTGACCATTAGCATGATGGGAAGAAATCACGTTTGTCAGTTTGTTAAAGCGCTCTGTGTGACGTACTGCAAATGAACGTGAGTTTGCAGTGTAAATCACTTACTTGTTATTCACTTACAATAACTATAAATCATTTTAATTAGTTAGACCTAATTAACATAGAAATAACTGAAAATATTGAGACAGGATTGAGTCTACACTTAGGCCTAACTTTAATCATGACTTTTCATTTCTTAAAGACTGTTGACAGAAAAGGCCACAGATCATCAAAGCAACCCAGATTTTACACTGAAAGAAAACCGTCAGCCTCCTTTGTACCAGCACTGATGAAAATTCAAGTGTATAAGTGTTAGGCCTGGGCGATAAAACGGTATCAATATTTATCGACGGTACACCTTCCTCGATATCGATATAAAAAAGGTTCAGTATAGCGCACGATATAGGCACGTACTATGAGTGACACAGACAGTACACACAAACACGAACACATGCTGAAATCAGTAGTGGTGCAACAACTCACGGTTCGGATCATATACGGATTTTGAGTCACGGATCGGTTCATTTTTCGGATCAGCAAAAAAATATTTAAATATAAAAAAAAAAGCTTACTTTAAGCACTTGTATACCACAGCAAAAACTACTAGCTTAACTGATAAAGTTAGTAATAAAACAAGAACAATTACACAGATTACAAGCATGAATACAACAAAACAGTTACCAATATCAGTATTCAGGTGCAGAAATGAAATTTTAAAATTAATTTTTAATGTAAAAAAACAAAAAACTCCGTGCTCACTGCACAAGTTAAATACAGATTAATCTTTGTTAGAGCTGTGGTGTTACTTGATTAGCAGACAGAAATGCACGGACCTACTGACACACATCCGGTTTCTTTCTCACCGGTTTACGTTCACTTAAGACATAACCGACTGTGTTTACTAGAATACTTGCCAAAACAGGTATTTTAACTAGGGATGCTCCGATCCGCCTTTTTCGCCTCCAATACCGATTCCGATACCTAAGGTTCAGTATTGGCCGATACCGATACGATACCAGTGAAGTTTTTTCCCCTCATTTAAATAAATGTAGAATTTATATATCTCTGTGTGTGGAACTGATAATCATTCTTTCACAATCTACTATACAGATTACTTCATTATAAAGAAAAATAAAATAAACAATAAATATGAAAAAATATAGGCCTATGTATATTTATAATCTATGACAAAAATGTATGATAAACTAGGTTAGTGGATAATTTGGCAGCAAAAGTTATTCTAGAAAAATCAGTGCACAATAATTTTAGAAATCCAAACAAAAAACATTTTGTGGGGAACAAATAAAAGTGTTGCACTAAATATAGTAAAATGTTACACATTGCTATTTATATTATAAAATCCATTCATTAAAAACATTCATATATATGTTTAAGTATATACTATAAAATTAAAATAAATTTCTTTTGAATATATAGCATATTTTTTAATAAGGCAACAACATATGATCGATACGATAGAACAAAACAAATACAGTGCAGCACGAACTGTGTTTATACAGTCTATGAGCACGAATCCGCTGTGCAGAATGAGGACGTCACAGCCTGACGCCGTGTTGCTTCCAGCGCATCGTTCTGCACACCGGATGCGCACGTTGTAAGCGCTTCGTGATGCGTAGTGTATTATATCTCTGCAACAGTTATTGAGCCTTTCTTTTAACAGTTTTAAATTTCAGTTACTGTGCACCTTAAAAACTATTTAAGTCTTTTCTACGCCCGTGTTTTGTTCTCACAGACACCTGGTAGCAAGTAACAAAACAACATTAAACTCCGGCAAGAAGACAAAGTCCTTTTTGCAGAATCATAGACATGTATTTATAAATCAAGTATAATGGGAACACAGAATGATCTTGGAGAGAGCTTTACCGAGCTGACTGCTGTAACCGAACGCGACCAGGGTTTAAAGGCTGAACGAATGATTGACAGCCACAGCGGAGAAAAGAGTTTGTGTAAACTTTAATGTAAGGACTTAAATTTTCATATGTAGCTCACATTAAGCTATCGTATGGCTTCAGAAGTAACACAGAATAATTCGCACAATCAATAAAAAAAATACAAAAAATCTTGGATTTGGATCGGCTCTCTCTGACCGATACCCGATCCGAGAAAAATGGCACTATCGGAGTCGATACCCGATATGAATAGATTTTAAATTCCACACACAGAGATATATAAATTCTACATTTATTTAAATGGGGGAAAAAACTTCACTGGTATCGGATCGGTATCGGTCAATACCGAACCCTAGATATCGGAATCGATATCGGAGGCGAAAAAGACGGATGGGAGCATCCCTAATATCGCCCAGCCCTAGTGTTTATTTCTCCCTTCCATTCACTATTAATCTCAGTATTTATAATTCACTGTGATTGAAAAACTGCAGACCAGATACATATTTACATGCTAAAACAAAGCAATTTGTTGTCTGCCACATGGATTCTTGTTGGCGGTTTTTATCATTCATCAGCTGAAAAAACAAACAAACACATGCATACAAGAGCGTTCAGCCGAACACTAGCGGTATATATTCAGTGTTCAGGAACTAGTCAAAGGATCGACAGCCTCATCATCATGACAATGCAGAAAGCCACAGAAGGGAGTTTCATCCAGCGCCGCTTCTTGTGTAAAAACAAACACTGAAATCACTGATCGGCAGGCAGAGTTTCACAAGACAGTCTTAGGCAATTCAATCTGATGCAAGTTACAGCCGTCTGATTCATATAACAAGAAATTCTGGATTCTGGATTTGATCCAAAGCTCGAGAGCAAGAGCAACTTACAAACTCTGACAAAGTCAAGTCTGCCTGTTGACATTTGTGAGAACTGCTTTAAATGCAAATAAAATCAGACTTGCACACTTTTGTACAAAATTAATGTGTAAACCAAGATTAGGCATTGCATCAATATTAGTGACTGAGTTGGTCATTTTGTGTAATTAGAAACTAATACATTTATTATAAGATGAACTATTCTCGTGTTTTAACCACTTTCAATGAGATCTGATTCCATCATTCATGTGTAACCGCATTCTCAGAGGAAACACAATCCGTGTAGCTTGCTATCAGAACTTCCTACTCCAAGTTATCAGCCAAATTCATAAATATTAATTAAGCCACGCACGTCCTGCAGCACCATGCACGCAAGTTGATTAATATTAATAAGCAAAGCATTCAGTAATTAGTCGGGTGACAAATCGCCCACTTACTAAGATTTGCCTCTCGACCAATCAGATAGACTGTCTCTGTAGAACGCTTAATATTCATAAGATGAGCCGCCTTCGTCCAATGACTCTTCACTTTCGGGTCTCGGCATGATTGCATACTGTATTATTTTTCTTTCCTCACCCAGATTTAGTTAAGATTAAACCAATTACCGAGATCACGTGTTTTACTCAGATCTAGTTAACTCAACACGACACGTTTCTAGGCTCTCATTCATATCACGCGTTAAACGTAGATAACTGTCCTTCACACCGTAAGTGTAGCACAATTGCGAAAACAGCGGTTCCTCACTGAGTGTGAACTTCAGCAATCATTAACCAAATAACGACCAAGCGTTCTTAGAGGAAAAGAGAAGAAAAGATGAGAGCTTTCTGTAAACAGTCTATGATCGCGGCTGTCAGTTAAAAACAGCTCTGAAGCTCTCCTTTAAAGGGACTTTGGTAACGTTAACGGAAATATCTATAAGAACTTTACCGTTAAAGTCGCCCGTGTCTGCAACGACCACCGTGTATTTCTTGATCTGCTCCAGCGCAGACTCCATCTTTCGCCGTTTGTCCGGTGACACAGACATGATCCCGAAAAACCGAGCTTTTATAGCCGCACGAGACACGACCGTCAGCAGCACCGAGAGAGAGCGGGAGAGCGCCTGCGTGGGGGCGGAGCCACGGCTCGTGACGTCATCGCGTAACAACCAATGACGGAGGGATGGAGCCACACACCTCACATCCAGCAGATCTCCACGCTGTTTATTAGAATGTTCTCAGAAAAGCTCGTCTGTACATTTATGCATATGTACTATAGTCTTGTTTTATATATTCATTTAATACTTGAGTATTGTTTGAGTTTTTCGCAAAAAACTATATTTCTGTTTTCCTTTATATTTCTGTTTCATTTCATAGCCAGCATTCATTGCTGCATGCTGTGTTTTCGGTTATTAGATTAATACAATGACTCGACTACAGAAGGGTTCACATTGGATTGAGGAACATAGACCCCTGAAGACTCTTCTATGTTCTGGCTGAAGATCATACTGAAAGCACAGCAGATCTGTTGATTTAGAGACTTCAAGCAATATTCAGGATTCAGAGTATATGATTTAATATAGCTTTTAATTGTGTATTAGCCCATGCAGTAGTAAAATGGCAAAAAAAGAAACTAAAATGGCAGATGAAAGTACGAAATAAGGAACAGAGAAAAGAGGCAGACGTAAATGGTTTAAGATGGAAATGAAGAGTTAAATTAAAGGGGTCATGACGGACTTTTTTTTATTTTTTATTATTTTAATATGTTCCTTGAGGTTTGCTTATAATGTTCTAATAAATATTGAATGAATTTGAAAAATTAAGAAAATATCATTATGAATATGATATTTTTTTTTTGCACAAAACAAGAAATAAATATGTGGGAAAATGATTATTTTCAACCCTCATTTATTTATTTTTTTTCCTCATAAAAGAAACACAAAAAAAAGGGAAGTCGTGGCCTAATGGTTAGAGAGTCGAACTCGTAACCCAAAGGTTGCGGGTTCGAGTCTCGTACCAGCAGGGATTGTAGGTGGGGGGAGTGAATGTACAGCGCTCTCTTCCACCTTCAATACCACGACTGAGGTGCCCTTGAGCAAGGCACCGAACCCCCAACTGCTCCCCGGGCGCCGCAGCATAAATGGCTGCCCACTGCTCCGGGTGTGTGTTCACGGTGTGTGTGTGTTCACTGCTGTGTGTGTGCACTTAGGATGGGTTAAATGCAGAGCACTTCTTCCAAGTATGGGTCACCATACTTGGCCACATGTCACTTCACTCACTCACTCATTCTGACCCTCTCTCTAAAACGAGCTGTTTTTAAGGGGCGTGTCCTTTAAGGCTTGTCAGTAATCAGCCACTGTTGTGATTGGCTAACGTCACTGCATAGGAAACAGTATCAACGCCCCTCACTTTTGCATGCCAGTGTTTTGACAACATGATCACAATAAAATGTTCCTTTCCAGACAAAGCATTATGAAATCATTTACTTACGGTTTGTGATGCAGCTGCAGTCAGAACTTGTTCTGCTTCATCTCTCAACAGATGTTTCTTTGTGATTCTCCACTGTGCCTCGATTACAAAACAAAATCCTCTGACACGATCCGGGACGCCATTAAAATAAACTATCCACTTGTTCCTTACGCTGGGCTCCTTCTGATATCTGTACAAAGACACGAACGAGCTGTTTAAACCAAACACGTAAAAGCGAACGTTCTTTCACTGCACTTTTCCTGACGACAGACTCGTATCTGTTTACTGTATCCAGTGTAGACGAGACAGCGCAGTGATTGTGATTTCTATTTGTTCTTGACGCGACGCTCGCATTCAGCGTGATCAAGTGTTAAGCGACTGAACGCCAGTGGGCGGGGCCTATGCTGAGAATAATTAATTAATAATAATAATTTAGCAGACACTTTTATCCAAAGCAATTTACAGTGCATTCAGGCTATACATTTTTTACCAGTATGTGTGTTCCCTGGGAATTGAACCCACAAACTTTTGCGCTGCTAACACAATGCTCTACCACTGAGCCACAGGAACAAACAAGACTATTGGTCGATGTCTTACTCTGGAGGCGTGTTTATGCCCCTGTGACGTCATCTTGTGCCTCAGATCCAAACGAGCTGTTTTTGGAGCTTGATTAAATAAATGCTTTGTTTATAATGAGGAGGGCATTTAAGCTAGGAATCTTGCAGGATGATTTAATGGTACAAAGACCTCTTATATGTCAAAAAATCAAGGCAAATTTAATTTCTCATGTCATGACCCCTTTAAACAACGCATGAGAAGATGAAAAAATAACTGTTGGTAAAGGAGAAATAACAGAAGTGAAGAAAAAAATCTTTAGACTTAGATTTGGTCATACTGCACTTAATAATGAACACCTAATATAACAGAATAGGGGGAAATGATAAGGAAACTTCAGGCTTCAATCATAAAGAAACTGTAGCATGTCAGAATGATCTGTCCAGGATATAGTAATGAAAAAGACACTAATATCTTTCAGTTGAAATGCGTTCTACAAAGAAATTCACACAATCAGAGTTTCAAATTCTTAATGGAGTATCTAAAGCGTCGAAGTTAAAGAACAAGTATTTCAGTGGATATAATGCATCGCTTCTAAAAACAGATTGTATTGTTTCTAACCCACCAGCAGGTGGCGGTAAAGCGCCTTTCGCTGTACTAAAAAAACAAACAAACAAAAAAAAAAACCTCAAGAAGCAGCAGCAGCAGCAGCCACGCCCGGCCCCGCCGCCAGAGGGAGACAGCGACACTCTTCACCGAATAAACAGATACAACTCGCATGACTTTTACTAAACGTTTCATTTATTGAAGAGATCGACAAACAGTTCGACACGTGAGTAATTAAGGTAAACATAATTTCAGGCAACTCTCTAATCTATTATAATATAAGTTTATAACAATAACAGTTTGTTAATAAACAGTGAAAAGCTGAGGAGAATATTGTGTCGACACTGTAATATAGATAAGCGGTGCTTCTACGTGTACATCACGTGATTTGAGCGTCATTACGCTTTCATCGCTATGGTTACAACAGGCCGTTAATCAACGCTTAAACACTGTTCGCTGATTCCGCGGTGAACCAATGATATGCAGCCATTTCTTCATAATCCAGCAAACCAATGATATGCAGCCATTTCTTCATAATCCAGCAAACCAATGATATGCAGCCAGGGCCGTTTCTAGGCATAGGCGAGCTAGGCGGTTTGCAGCCATTTCTTCATAATCCAGCAATATAACTAATTATATACAGACATTTCTTTGTAATCCAGCAAAATAATGATATGCAGCCATTTCATCATAATCCAGCACACTAATGATATGCAGCCATTAATTCATAATCCAGCAAACGAATGATATGCAGCCATTTCTCCATAATCCAGCAAACTAATATGCAGCCATTTCATTTCACGTACAACTAATAAAACAGCTAAACTGTATTGAAATGTTGGTGATAGTTAAAATACAGAATATACTGAAGCTTAAATACAATTCTATGAAAAATATAAATCAATTCTTTAAGAAAGTCTGCCGTGAAAGTCTACATTTAGTAAATCTAGATGCATATGTGTGTTTGACCAGAAAATGACACTAATGCCAGTTTTTCCATGAAGTGAATTATGCTTTAAAGTGATTACTTCAGTTTATTGACAGAAATACTTGTTTGTCTCATCTCTAAAGCAAACTATGCATCTTCTTATTAGGGACGCATATCAAAACAATAAATGCTTTTTAATTTGCACTACATGAACACCAAGCCTCAACACTGTTACAAACTCATGTTCAAGTTCACTTCAGCTTATTTCTATTGCAGTGACATGGTAGAGATTTTTGAAGTAGACAAAAATGAGAGGAAAAACCATATTCTAGTCCACGCGGAGTATAAAAATAGAGTCTGGGTTAAGAATAACAGCATTCTTGAGATGCCTGCCGTCGGTCCCTCCCTGAGTCTGACCAGAACCAGAGCGATGAAACACGAGAAACACGCTCGACTTTACCAATAAACACAGCATGGAGAAAAACAGCAGCTTCTGAGATCCAAATCATAAGACAGTAAAGCAGCTGCAGAGGTGAGTAATATAGAGAATATGTTGTTTTGTTCAGTTCAGATAGTGAATGCTGTTAGACAAAGCAATCATTCAAACTAATATCTGCTAAAATCACATTTCAAAACTATCACTACTTGCTCTTTTCTTCTGGCTTCTCACAAGTAAAACACTTTATTTCAGTTACAGTGCATTCATTACTACTGGTTAATTACTAAAATGTTATATTTTATAATAATTTATAATATTATGATAATTGTTTGCAAAATCTCTGCCACAATATCAAGTTATGCATCGCACTGAAACAGCCTCACAGAGAGTCTTTCAAACGTATTGTGTTTCTTCAGAAGATCTCGCTGCTTATTTTCATCACAGTCTTTCGTTAGGAAGATAATGATGATGTTCATGTGCAGTAGATTTACTGGCAGACGTGAGAAAGAAGCTTTAAAGAAAGAAAGAAATCAGGCAATACAATTACATTAAATGAAGTTAGCTTTTTGTTACAGATTAAATAGTTCATTTTCAGGTCATTGCATGTTAAAGTAGATCATAACAGATATTACAGTAGGCTTTACAGAATAGCGTAATATTTAGCGTAATATTTAAGTAATATTTAAGTCAATATGAGAGATTATTCTTTAGTTTAGGTTTCATTTAAAGGCATAAAAGGCCAAACATAGAACTGAAACAAATAAAATAAAACAAGCAAAAAACAGCCCACTTGTTGAGCTACAGAGCACAGGTTTTTATTATCCTCAGGACTGAGATCTCATCACAAACTGTCCTCAATTTCTCAAAAGGTTTTGCAAAGACGTCACTTTCACCATATTGCAGTGCTACATGAATGATGAAATCAGGACAGAAATATAATTAATGTGTACTTACAGTCCTGTGAAAATGTTCACTCCTACAGTTCGAGGGCACTAAAATCCTCAGATGCTAATTAGTAGAACATCATTACAGAAGAAGGCCACTGCATTATATAAAGCTCAATAAACTGGTCTCGTTTGATCATAAGCATTGATGTATGTGATACAGTAATGCAAGCGGGTGCTTTTATTATTAGGATATTCAATATAATCATGATGATCATAATAGATAGAATAATACATATTCAAATTAATGTTTATTAAACAGATTTCAATATAACATGATATTTAAATGGGGAGGGTTCTAAAAATAAACCGTATAGGACTTAAAAATAACTCGGGTCTGCATCTTGAATTAAAATCTGCTGAGCTGCAAAAAATATATATATGCACACTTTTTATACACACACATGTATATAAATGTCAAAAGTTTAGACTCTTAATGACAGAATATTCAAAATGTATAATTTAGCTTACAGTTTGCAAAGGAGTGGGGAAAACATGTTCAAATACACTATAATGTTAAAGAACTTTACACAGACACGTTTATAAATAAAAAAGCTTTTTTACAAAATCTGTCATTTTCTGTGGCTGCTTGCAGTAAAACCTCCACAGATCTGGCTCATGCTTTCTTCTGTCTCTGGCCATAATTCAAACCTTGAAATGATTAGATATAAAAAATAATGTCTTCAGAAGCATTGATACGTGTGAAAATGGGCTGAGAATTGATCAGAGAGTTGTAATCGGGTAGGAATCAAGTCTTTGTGGCAGTTTTTCTGCTGATTAAGAGAGAATATAAGACTTCTTCACCTTGCTAATGGTTGTTGAAAGGAAAACTGCTATGAAATATAACATTTTGTGAGAAAATGTGATATGCACCAGCAAAGCAGGCACTAATTTTAGAATTAACACTCCAAAATTAGTAAGAAACAAGTACTGGATTTCATTCAGTAAATATGATGCAGGGAGGTGTAATCAATACGGATCTTATACGGTCATGTAATGGGAGTAATTTACAATATTTTGATCACTATAAAATTTATTTTATATTTCTAATGCCGTGCCACATTTTGCTAATAATTTTAATATATTGTAAATATATTAATATATAGTCTAAATAATTTTTGGCTGAAAAGCTGAATGCGAGCCCTGGTCCCTTGCTTTATTAAAGGGAATGGGAAATTAAGGAGCTTTAGGTCATTCATTCCAAAAATTCTACACATTGTTTGCATGCATTTGATTGCATATGTGTTTTTAAATCAAATCAGATGAATGTATAGTCCTCTAAAATATATGCACCATTGCATTGATTAGACGGTTAGATTGGATCAGAAGATCTGAGCAGACAGAGACAGTGGCGCTCCTGATAATGACGGCTGGATTACTGAGGTTTAGAGAGACTCTCTGCTAATGAGGTTGGCTGCATTAATGTGAGTTGGGAATAAAAGCGTTTAACAGGAGCAGATGAGACTTTCACAACACTTTGCACTGCAAGACCTAATGCACAGATCACAATATTTTGAGAGATAATGTTTATATGAATGCACACTAAAACACTGTAGGCTGACAACAGCACGATTGTATGTGTTTGCTTTGTACTAGTAGTTTTGTAGTAATTTGTTTAACAGAAACACCTGCGAATATAACAAGAAAACACTAAAGATATAATATGTTTTTAGAAGAAGAAATATGTTGAAGTAACTGATTCAAATTAGCTCTGTAATACTGAACCTTTTTGTCAGCGGGGTAATTAGCTCACTTAGATGCATCCTGCAGTCAGAAGAATCTTAATTATGAAATGTTATTTGTGCATCACAGTATCAAAACAAAGGCACACACTGACATTTACTCTAATCGTGATGAATGTCAGCGAGCGTGTTTCATGCGGATACACGCCAGCAGCTCATGAATACAAGAGAAAAACAGCAAGAGGAGGAGAGATGAAGAAACAGAAAAGAAAGAGTGTGTTGCAGAGGAGATATTCTGCATCACACTGCTGTAATCACTAGTAAGGTTTGGTGTGGACTGATAAGAGGAGATGTGAGATACAGGGAAGCTGTGTTGAAGGAAGATGGTGAGCAGCGGAAGATGATTGGTTGAGTTGTGAGGAGGCGTGGCCAGAGTCTGAATGATTTGTTACTGGAGAGAGAGAGGCGAGAGACTGTGCATTCAGAGCGTGTGTGTGTGTGTGTGTGTGTGTGTGTGTGTGTGTTTGAGGGGGTGTATGAGCAAAGGAATAATCGCTGGAGAGACACAGAGAGACGGGGTGGTGTGGATCCTGTTCTGCGGCAGCTGTTGGGTTCTTCATCCCGTGAGGATCAGTCTCTGCTTTATACCTGAAGTGAGCAGCGCTTGACGCAGCGGAGGACAGAACAGAGTCGAAGGAGTGAAGCTGTTAACACTCAGCCGGACCTCGGAATCCTGAAGAAAACCAGCCGAGAGGGACAAAGACGCAGAGATAGAGGAAGAAGCATCAAGAAGCGGTGGATAAGGGATGTCGAATTTAAGGAAAGAAACTGACTGTAGGATTGCCAGAAAATGAGAGCAGGATAAGGGAGAGGTTGAAGAGATGATGACTGGCAAAGCAGGACAAGCCTCTGTGTATTAAAAAAAGTGTGTTGGTTCATCTGTATTCACCTGTTCATTCATGCTGTCTGCGAAACCTTCAGATGATTTGGAGGTCAAGAAAATACTGGATTTTTTTGCATGGTCCAGCCGTGAGCAGGACTTCTCGTTGCTCCCCTAGTAGGTGTCCAACAGGACAAGGGTTGTTTATTTATTAGGAGGCCAGGCCAGAGGCATGAGTGCCAGCATGCACATGTCAGAAATGAATCGGGTCAAATGCATGGTTGTAAAGAGGTGATCTGCCATGCATCATTGTGGTAAGATATCTTCCCTAATGAAGCAGCATTAGAGCACCTATGCCATTGATTGAGGGTCCAGAAAGGATTAATCGCATTGCAGGAAATTATTGAAGTGCATCTGAAAGATATTGAATCTGCAGTTTAAAGTGATTAAAGACTGCTAAGGACTGTGGGTGGACCTCTGTTGGACTTTATCGCTACACTTCCTAACGTTTGCCTTGCAGACCAAAGACCGCTGAGTTCCTAATTTAAAAACTGTATAAAAAAACAAATAATGGCCATGTTTTAAGGGTTGTGGGCTTGTGCTTTCCAACTTGCCGTCTTATCACTTTTCTTACTTTGTGACTCCAGTCTTGCAAAAGTGGGGATCATTTGGCCCCTGGGGGTCCGGGCTGCGGCCCCGGCCCCCAAACCAAAAATGCGTCGCTCAAGTACAGATGAAACGCCGTACTGCCGGAGTCCCTCTCTGGACAGTAAGTCGGGCTCGCCGCCGCTGCGCTACAGCGGGGAGTACGAAGTGCATCTGAAAGATATTGAATCTGCAGTTTAAAGTGATTAAAGACTGCTAAGGACTGTGGGTGGACCTCTGTTGGACTTTATCGCTACACTTCCTAACGTTTGCCTTGCAGACCAAAGACCGCTGAGTTCCTAATTTAAAAACTGTATAAAAAAACAAATAATGGCCATGTTTTAAGGGTTGTGGGCTTGTGCTTTCCAACTTGCCGTCTTATCACTTTTCTTACTTTGTGACTCCAGTCTTGCAAAAGTGGGGATCATTTGGCCCCTGGGGGTCCGGGCTGCGGCCCCGGCCCCCAAACCAAAAATGCGTCGCTCAAGTACAGATGAAACGCCGTACTGCCGGAGTCCCTCTCTGGACAGTAAGTCGGGCTCGCCGCCGCTGCGCTACAGCGGGGAGTACGAGTACCACAGCTCGCCCTTCGTCTTCGGCCTTCGTACCACACCGGGCTCAAAGAAAGCTAAAGCCAGCTACACCACTGCACAGGGCCGGAAATATGTGGTGTTTTACCTCGACCTGTCCTTCATCTTCCTTCTAGAGCTGCGGCGCTGCAGGATGGCCGAGGGCTGCCTGAGGGCCCTGAGATACGGGATGGTTTTCTTCAATCTGCTCTTCTGGGTGAGTCTGAGTCCTGTACATTTCATCTCTGCTCTTATTCTGTTCAAATGGCTCTGCTTGAGAGAGAATGTTAAAGGAAATGTTCACTCAGACAGTTCAGTATTTACTCATGTCGTCCAAAACCTGGATAATAATATAATAATAATAAAAAAATCTTTATTTTCTATAGTGCCTTTGAATGTTACATCTCAAAGTACATCATATGAAGATTATAAAATAAGCAAGAAAATAAAATATTAATTCAAAACACTTAAAAATAAAATAATGTAGAATGAATACCAAAAATTGAAATGAGTTTTAAGGTGAGGTTTAAAAATGCTAAGAGATTTCGCTTGACTTTTCTCAATAGGTAAGGAGTTCCATAGTTTTGGAAGTAGTGAAGAAAAAAGCCTGATCTCCCATTGATCTTAAACAGGTTGACAGAAGAGTCAACAGACCAGTTTCAGATGAGCGAAGATCATAGCGAGTTAAAAGCTCAAACAAATATTGAGGTGCCAAACCATGCAAAACCTTATAAGGAATCATCAGGAATTTAAAATCTACCCTAAACCTCGTGGCCTAATGGTTAGAGAGTCGGACTCGCAGCCCAAAGGTTGCGAGTTCGAGTCTCAGGTCCGGCAGGGATTGTAGGTGGGGGGAGTGAATCTACAGCGCTCCCTCCCACCTTCAGTACCACGACTGAGGTGCCCTTGAGCAAGGCACCGAACCCCCAACTGCTCCCCGGGCGCCGCAGCATAAATGGCTGCCCACTACTCCGGGTGTGTGTTCACGGTGTGTGTGTGTTCACTGCTGTGTGTGTGCACTAAGGATGGGTTAAATGCAGAGCACTAATTCCAAGTATGGGTCACCATACTTGGCCACATGTCACGTCACTTTAACAGGTAGGTAATGTAAGGACTCCAAGATATGAATGATATGATCTCTAATCCTAGTTCTAGTTAGGATTCAAGCAGCCGAATTTTGCATGACCTGCAATTTGTTTAGGGTAGCTTTTGAAACCCCAGCCAACAAAGCATTGCAATAGTTAAAGGTTTAGTTCACCCAAAAATGAAAATTACCCCATGATTTACTTACCCTTAAGCCATCCTAGATGTATATGACTTTCTTCTTTCAGACGAATACAATCAGAGTTATATTAAAAAACAGCCTGGCTCTTCCAAGCTTTATAATGGGAGTGGGTGGTAGCCCAAAATTTGAAGTCCAAAAAATTGAACCAATCCATTATAAAAGAAGTCCACACGGCTCCGGGGGGTTAATAAAGGCCTTCTGAAGCGCCGCAATGCATTTGTGTAATAAATATCCATATTTACAACTTTATAAACCTTAATCTAGCTTCCGCTAACTGTCGTAGGCGCGTTCACGAGAGAGTGGTGTCCAGCGGATGACGTAGCACGTAGGCAAACGCGGTGACGAATGTGGAAGTGACGAATGTGGAAGTGACGAATGCGGAAGTGACGAACGCGGAAGCGCAGAGGAGAGAGCAAAACAAAACACTGGTCATGAAATAGTAGTACAAAACGAGGATTTGTAAAGAAAAATGTCAGAGGATTTCAATATAAGCCAAGAGGACACTGGTTTTCCTTTGCTGTAAACAAAACTTGTTTCTCGTGAGACTAGCATATTCTCCCCGGAGTTTACGCTACGCCTACGTGCTACGTCATCCGCTGGACACCACTCTCTCGTGAACGCGCATACGACAGTTAGCGGAAGCTAGATTAAGGTTTATAAAGTTGTAAATATGGATATTTATTACACAAACGCATCGCGGCGCTTCAGAAGGCCTTTATTAACCCCCCGGAGCCATGTGTACTTCTCTAATAATGGATTGGTTCAATTTTTTGGATTTCAAATTTTGGGCTACCATCCACTCCCATTATAAAGCTTGGAAGAGCCAGGATGTTTTTTTAATATAACTCCGATTGTATTCGTCTGAAAGAAGAAAGTTATATACATCTAGGATGGCTTGAGGGTAAGTAAATCATGGGGAAATTTTCATTTTTGGGTGAACTAACCCTTTAATACGGGAAAATACAAACGTGTTAATCAGCTTCTCAGCAACAGGGAAGGACAGCATTGGACGTAATCTGGCAATATTTCTAAGATGAAAGAAAGATGTTTTAACAGTTATTAAAGAAAAATAATGCCATATGTCTTTGAAACAAAAAAGCACATTGAATAGCACTAACTGAAAAAATAATGCATTGCATTAACAGTGCTTGCATTTTAATGCCTTGTATTTCCAGGGCTTGCATTTTCAGGTCCTGAAATTTAACATAGTTGTCTATTTAAGCTGTGAATATTTCAATTCAAAATATTTCACACACATTTTCATAATTAAAAATTCAATAATTCATATTCCCCTTCCAGAATTAAAAATATTCAGTCTGTTTAAAAATACACTGTATAATATTCGACAGGCAAATTTCGGTGCATTTTATTTCACTTTCCAAATTCGCTTCCACAAATTCAGTGGTTAAAATTTGGCAGAAAATTCGGCATTGCACATCCGGGATCTGCAGGAATAGCAGTAGAGCACCGATGCATGATCTCCAGCTGCTGTCAGTCGCTCACCAGCAGGTGGCGCAAGCGGCTGTTGATGAAGACCAAAGCAACAGGTGGATTACGTCATTCATCACAAAAACTGATCTGCAGAAATGGAGCAAGCGCTAAGTAGAAGTTTTGATTATCGGGGCCAGTATAAACATGTGGAAAAGCTGATTGTGTGTATGTTTAATTCAACATCTTCGCTGTTTCCCGTAGCCTACATGTAAGCAGCTTTCTCTACCACAAAAGAGATTATAATCCTATTTTACCCAACGCTGATGTACAGAACTAACATTATATTTGATTGTATCATGGCTTGTGTGATGCTGTGCTGTAATACTGGGGTTCCACTCATAGGTCACACTCCAGGATTCCCCAATGACGCCTAACGCTGTTGAAATATTCACAGCTTAAATAGACGACTATGTTAAATTTCAGGACCTAAAAATGCAAGCCCTGGAAATACAAGGCATTAAAATGCAAGCACTGTTAATGCAATGCATTATTTTTCCAGTTAGTGCTATTCAATGTGCTTTTTTGTTTCAAAGACATATGGCATTATTTTTCTTTCATAAACAGTATTCTGAACATGAGGCTCAAATGTTAGATCACCCCCAGATTTTTTAGTTTTGTCCGATACTCCATGATAGAACCATCGACAGTTAAAGTAAGCAAGCCAGCTTTACGTTATTGGTGGGGTGAACCAATGAGCATGATCTCAGTCTTTTCACTGTTAAGACAAAGAAAATTTTGCGACATCCATTCTACCCTAACCCTAACCCTTTTATCTTTGAAATACATTGAGAAGTCGGCGGCAATAGCCTCATGGACAGCGTGCTGACATATAGCACCGTTACGCTTCGGGCGTCCTGAGTTTGAGTCCCGATCACATCTCCTCCTCTCTCTCCCACTTCGCTTACTGTCTGATAACTGTCCTATAATAATAAAGCAAAAAAAAACACACACACATACACACACACACACTAAATAACACAGTTTCGTTATGTTGAATGCTAATAGTTACCTCTGGTTGTTAAGTCCAATCTAAACTCCTGCAAGGCATCGCTTGTTTACCTCTAAAAGCAGTTTCTGAAACACTTCCACCCAAGAATAAGCAGTCATTTTGCCCGCTGTGTGTAATTATACCTCGCTGTCTAAAACCATGTCCGTCAACACCCTTAGTTTAAGTAAATGTGATAAAAAGAGCAATTAGTGTCAAAATAATACAGTAAACAGGACAAATTTAATGTCATTCCACAAACGTATGCAGTGTAAAAATACTGTTTCTAATGAAAGAACGCTGGCTAGTTCTGTTTAAAATAACACCAAATACAGCACATCTAACCGCAGAGACATGCGCCATATTTATATTTGGCTGGAGACGTGTGACCTTGAAGTTGAAAATGGGTTGAAAAAAGACAAATAAAACAAACATCATCCCACTTTCAGCCACTTTTAGTTCCAGCAATTTTCTTAGAATGTGTAAATATTTTTCTGAACATAAAAAGATTAAAAAAATAAAACTGACCAGGTCTCATGGAGATGATGAGCAGAAATGGGGTTCAGAATCAGAAATGCCCTTACTAAATTGGCCCATTTTCTAATATATAAAAGTATACTTTTAAGTATACTTTAAGTATAACAGTAGTAAACTTTGAGTACACAACTAGCTTACCTCTATGTTTTTAGTTTGAACTGCAACAATACTAAAAGTGAACTTAAAAGTTTACTGATAGTTTACTAATTAGATACTTGTAGCATTTTAGTACACTTTGAAGTATAGTCTCAGTAAACTAATAGTTTAGTAGTTTTATACTGCAAGTATACTCGTAAGTTCTTTAAGTGAACTTTACATCATACTTTAAATATACTATGTCCCCATTTAAGAATGTGTATATATTTTGTTATATGAATATCTGAACATACAAAACATCAAAATAAAGAACAGGGTATCTGCTTGCAAACAAAAAACTATTATTCTAGCTTCATGCATTCTTTTTTATAAACATTTGAATGTGGGTAAGTTTCATAAATAAAACAAAGAAATAAACAACATTTTAAACAAAAAGCTGAAAAAAGTCTATGAATTGGATTCAGAATGATAATCAAAACGTAGATGGAGTCCAAAAGCTTGACATTCATTATTACCTCTTCATGGGTCAACATTTTATTCCATAACGTTACACAGTTTTGATGCCGTTTTATGTCTGATGATCGTGTTAGATTACGTGTGAAAGCATGGCTGCATCCAAAAGCTCTAAAATACTGCCTTCGGAGGCAGCATTCCAAGACAGGAAGGCATCAAGGCACGTCCGAATCCAAATTCTGCTTCACTTCCTGTCTCCGGAGGCAGCATAGATGTATGCGTCGCTGCGTTTGATATCCCACAATCCTGTGCGTTCCGTTCCGTGATGGTTGAGCTAAAAAATAAAGATGGCGTCTGAAAGTTGCGTTTG